CCCAAGGCATTGGACAATCAATGTTTCAGACCTGAGTTGGGGGTTAGGATCAGGGAAGGTTGAGGGCGGGGGAGGAAGGATGGTGACCGAACGCACCATCGGAGAGGAGAGTCTTGAGACGGTTCTTGAAGGAGGCAAGGGAGGGGGTGAGGTGGAGGGATGCAAGGTGGAATTCCAGAGGGTGGGGTCAGAGTGACAGAAGGCCCACCCGCCAATGGTGAGGTGGGCGAGGGACATAAAGCAGGCCAGAGTCCACTGGGCGGAGAGAGCGGGCAGGTTGGTAGGGGATTAGGAGGTCGCAGAGGTAGGGGGAAGCAAGGCCATGGAGGGCTTTGAAGGTGAGGACCAGGATCTTGAACCATATTCTCTGTGTGATGGGAAGCCAGTGGAGTTGGGCGAGGATGGGAGTGATAGGGTCGTGGAGCCTACTGCAGGAGAGGACATGGGCTGCAGAGTTCTGGATGATCTGCAGCCTGTGGAGGGAGGAGTTAGGGAGGCCGACAAGCAAGGAGTTTGCATAGTCAAGCCTGGTTGTTATGAATGCGTGAATGAAGGTCTCAGTAGCCTGCAGTCTGAGACAGTGGCAGAGCCGGGCGATGTTGCAAAGGTGGAGGAAGGCAGAGCAGGTCATGGCACGGATGTGGGGTAGAAAGGATAGTTGAGGGTCAAACAAGACCCTAAGGTTCCGAACTGGCTTAGTAAGATGGAGTGTGATTCCTTGGATGGTGATGCTGTCAGCGCCTGAGGTGCTGACGGGAACCAATCATGAGGGCCTCGGATTTGTTGACATTCAACTGTAGAAACGTAGCTCGCATCCAGGGCTTAATGTCTGACAGACATTCTGTGATAAAGTGGAGTAATTGTGTGTTTTGTGGGTCTGACTCCCTTTCAAAAGAACTGGTAGACTCTGTTTCAACCATGCTGCGGTAGAGTTTGTGGCAGAGAATTCCAACCAGCCTCTACATCGAGACATTATTTCCTAACCTCCCCATTAATTCCCTTTGTGATGACCTTACATTTGTGCCATTTCATTGCTGACTCGCTGACGTTAATATTATTATAATATAATAATAATCCTTGCATTTGATATAGTGCCTCATCAGGTATTCGAAACCTCTCAAAGCGCTTCACAGAATAGACTGTAAAGTGAATTGACTGTATATTTGTGGGCGAAACGCGGCAGCCAATTGCGCACAGCAGTGTCCCATAATAATAATAATAATAATAATAATCCTTGCATTTGATATAGCGCTTTTCACGTCGGGAGGACGTCCCAAAGCGCTTCACAGAATAGACTGTAAAGTGAATTGACTGTATATTTGTGGGCGAACGCGGCAGCCAATTGCGCACAGCAATGTCCCACAAACAGTCGTAGATTGAAAATGACCAATTTATTATTGTTTTTGTTTTGGAGGGATTATTATTAGGCGTGTGGAGTAAGGAAACTTGCCCAAGGTTTCGCCCTCTGCCTGGAATTGAACTCAGGTCTCTCACTTGCAAAGCGAGTGCTCTAACCACTGAGCTACAGGACTCCAGCCCATAACAGTAATGGATTGAAGTCACCAAATTATTATATTTTTTTCTTGAGGGATTATTATCAGGCGTGTGGAGTAAGGAAACTTGCTTTCCTTACTGACACATTACATTGTTCAGAATAAATAAATGGTTATGCCATGACTATTTCATAACATATTGTGTAATGGTTGGAATAATAAGACACTGACATTATGTAGTACAAAATCCAAGGTTTCACCCTGCCAGGAATCAAACCCAGGTCTCTCACTTGCAAGGCGAGTGCTCTAATCACTGAGCTAGAGGACTTATCTCTTATTTTAATGTCTTATCTGAAGGACGACATCTCCGATAATGCAGCGCACCCCCAGCACTGCATTGGAGTGTCAGCATACACTGTGAGCTCAAATTAATTTGATGACAAGGCAGACAGGACATTAGTTTAACCCCTTGGCCCTCTAATGGACGTTAAGGGTTCCATGTTGCTGTTTGGGAGAGAAGGGAGTTTATCGCAGTGTCCTGGCCAACAATCCTACACCCAAAACTAATTGACTGCAGCCCTCATCATTTCCAAGAACTGACACGTTACATTGTTCAGAATAAATAAATGATTATGCCATGACTATTTCATAACATATTGTGTAATGGTTGGAGTCATAAGACATACATTGACCGTGTGTAGTACAAAAATTAACATTTAACAGTTACCAAGGCTAAACCATAAGCACGATCTGTTTCTCCTTCCAGGGACAGGAGCTTTCAGTATCTTTGCATTGATAACCAGTTTCATGAGATATTATAGGAACACTCCAGGGGAGGCTGACAAGAGACATTATGAGCAATGACAGGGAAACGGAAGCAAACAGAACCCATTCAGCCGTAACACAACAGGGCAGCTCCACTAACCTACCGCTACAAACCCTTCCTTATGGCTTCGAATTATTATTGTGCTCTATCAAAGCAATCAAATTGCATAGTAATAATAATCCTTGCATTTGATATAGCGCTTTTCATGTCGGGAGGACGTCCCAAAGCGCTTCACAGAATATACTGTAGAGTGAATTGACTATATTTGTGGGCGAACTCGGCAGCCAATTGCACGCAGCGATGTCCCACAAACAGTCGTGGATTGAAAATGACCAATTTATTATTGGTTTTTTTTGGAGGAATTATTATTAGGAGTGTGGAGTAAGGAAACTTGCCCACGGTTTTGCCCTGATCTGCCTGGAATTGAACTCAGGTCTCTCGCTTGCAAAGCGAGTGCTCTAACCACTGAGCTACAGGACTCCACTTGTAACAATCTATGAATTATAATCCCCGTTTTTATCTTTACAGGGCTTTTCTTCCCTCAATTTAGATTCACATAATATTCCACAAACAATTGTGGATTGAGAGAGGGAGGGAGGGATTATCAGTCCCAGGAAGCAATCTGCCAATCGACTAATAACCGAGTTCCTACTTAGCGCTAGGTAAACAGAGGCATGTGGAGTAAGGAAACTTGCCTAAGGTTTCGTCCCCACCCGGGAATCGAACCCGAGTCTTCTCGCTTGCACCACGGGATTCCGCTATGCTTGATCATGCATCTCAGTCAGAATAAATCACGAGCTTGTTGTGGCTATATGAGGCAATATTACTAAGGACACAATATTACTAAGAATGAGGATCCTCATTCCTCAACGGTTGTCCTTGACGGGTTAAGCTGCAATGAGGTTCACTCTACAATAATCACCCTGCTGACCTCACTGCAAGGTTTAACATTCAATAATTTCCCTCGCTTATTCTAATTCATTGACCAAATGTTGTTGGATTTATGAATGCCTCAGTCCAGACCTTGCTGCTCAATTAGATATGGAAATTAATCGCAACGCCCTGTTATGTAACAATTACGCAATGCGATCACTTTGGGACTTGCTGAACATTTGATAATAAGATTATATATTATGCTTATTATGTTATCAAATAATAATAATTATAAAGTAATAATAAATAATTTGATTAATTCAAAGTGTGTGGAATCTGTATGACTGCATATTTTTTGCGTTTACAAAACAGAAATCCTGAAACCCAAAGCCTTGAAAAGATATTGCAGAATAGAGAAAATAGTTGATAAAAATCCATTGGCAAAGGTTGGAATCTCTGAAGCAGACCACCCTGCTTACCACACTGGCAGCTTGTGATCAATGATTTCCATTGCCTACTCCATCTGATACATTGACCAAATGTCATATTCATCTCTCCATCTCACTGAAAACGCATAAGAAGCTTAACTTCAGATCGTCTCAGCTCAGAAAAGGCTTTGGGATCCATTCCCAAAGTAAAAATTTAAATAATCCACACACAACTCTCTCTCTCATACCATTCAATCAATTTCTACTTACTCATCGCTCTCTGTGAAATAATTCAATACGGAAAATCTGTTCATCTTCCTTCACCTGAGCTCAGTTCATTGTTGTTGAGACTGTGACCATGTGAAACAGCAACAACCACCACCACTTTTATATAGCGTTCATATAGCACTCTTCATGCAGCATAACATCTCGGAGCACTTCACAAAGACAGGGTCTTTTAAGCTCGCCTAAGTGGAAGTGGAAAAATAGATTCGGGCGTCACATTTGGAATTTGTTCACATCGCCAAAAGGCAAGATGTAGACGAGGAAAAGGAGGGAACCAAAAATAGAATCCTGAGCTACTCCATTTTAATGGAGCTCTGGTCTCCTTTCAACCCACTCTAAACATTCCCAGATTCTGTTGTTTGACCACATGTGAAGAAAGAAATTGTCTCTTCATTCCCCCATCTATCTCTTCAGGATAAGGTTACTGGGAATCCTCACTACGGTGAGAAAACAATTGTAAATAATCAATCTTGTATTTGATATGAGCACCTTTCACATCAAGAGGACATCTCAAAGCGCTTCTCAAGATTTTTACGATGAAGTGTAGTGACTGTATATTCAGCCAATTGAGCATTGCATTGGAGCGTCAGCCTGGAATATGTTCAAAGTGTCGATGTAGATTGTGGCTTAAACTCACATCCTTCTGACTCGGAAGTGAGAGCGCTACTGACTGAGGCAGGCTGATGATTTGATATAAAAAAGAAGGGCAAAGTAGATGGGCACTGAAGATGCTGGAAATCTGGTATAAACACAGAAGTCGCTGGGAATACGCAGCAGGTCAGGCAGCATCCAATGGAGAGAGGAAAATTAGTTAACGTTTCAGGTCTATGACCTTTTGTCAGAACTGGGGGATGTTGGAAGTGAGCAGATTATATGAACAAGCAGAGAAGGGGACGGGGAAAGAAAGACAAAGGAAACATTTTTAAATGGAGGACAGAAGATGATGAGATTAGAAGTGTTGATATTGCAAGACAAAAGGTAATTGTCTGATCTTGTTCTTGGAAAATCTGAATAACTCAGAGGGAAGCATTTTACTCTCCGAGCGCGGGGTCTGTCAATCAGAAAGGGATTTACTCCTGTAACTTTCCCCTGCAGGAACCTCGGTCATGCAGGTGACGGCATCAGATGCAGATGATCCGACCTATGGGAGCAGCGCGAGGCTTCTGTACAGTCTGCTGCAGGAGCAAGAGCAGTTCACAGTGGACACCAAGACGGGTAGGAACTGAATCTTGTCCTGTTGTTTCAGGAGGGGAAAAACCCTTTGTCAGCCAGGCTGTGCATCAAGCAAGCATCAGCAAACAGATTCATGTTCAAACATAAAAAACAGATTGTGAGTCACCAGGGCTCAAAATTGGTCCAAATGCCTCATTGGGGGTCGATCATACCTCGACTGCCAAGGCGAGCAATCTTTCTGCTATCAATGTGTTACAAAGAGGCTGGGAGCGGGTGGGCGTTAACCCTTTATTGTCTCCATGTTACATAGAAATCTATTTATCGTCCTTTACAGCTCAGTTTTCATTAACTCACCTCCCCACTCCCCCCCCCCCCCCCCACCCCCCCCAACCCCACTCCTCTCTCTGTCCCTCTTGTGCCTGTTTCACTTTTTTAATCATTCTCTACACATTCCCCTTTCTCCCACCTCACTCCACAGGTTTCTCACATTCTCTTTTGCTCTCTATCAACACCCGCCCCCACACCCCCACCCCTACTCCCCACTTTCTCTGGCATATGAAAGATGTAAAGCCGTGACATTTAAAAAGGGTAATGATTTGAAGAAGAAAAATGTAGCAGTAATAATAAGAATCCTTGCATTTGATATAACACCTCATCACGTCGTCCAAACATCTCAAAGCATCCAAAGGATTTTAATTATTACATGCTGTCAATGTATCTCTAGGCAAATGCTGCAAAGGGATATGGGAAACGTGCAGGGATTTGGGATTAGGATAGTTAGCTCTGGTGGAGTTTCTGGCATCCATCTGGCAGGGGAATGTTGGCCAGGACACAGGGAGAAACTCCCTTCTCTTCAATTCGTGCCACGAGATCTTTAACGTCCACCTGAACAGGCAGACAGGATCTTGGTTTAACGTCTCATCTGAAGGACAGCACCTCCAACAATGCAGCACACCCCTAGCACTGCATTGGGGTGTCAGCCTAGACTGTGAGCTCAAAGGACTAATGTCGGGATTGGAACTCACAACCTTCTAACTCAGAGACCTACCAACTGAGTGCTACCAACTGAGCCAGGCTGACATCCATGAGTTGAATGGCCTCCTTATAGAGTAATTTCTATTATCCTCCATCTTCTTTCTATACTAATAAAGACAAAATTTCTGTGTGTGTCCACCAAGAACGCAATAACCGATTGACATAGATATGATTTATACATCAATAGGAAGGTCTTGCATGGGGGAGCGTCATGGGCACATTGTTGTTCGGGGATTTCGTAACGTGACCTAAACAAGCTCATCACACATGTATGGATTCCAAGAAGGAGTCCTCCCAACACAAGTCCTCCCACAGGAGTCCTACCACAGGAGTCCTCCTAACAAGGAGTCCTCCCAACCAGTAGTCCTCTCAACCAGTAGTCCTCCCAACCAGGAGTCCTCACATAGGAGCCCTCCCAACAGGATTCTTCTCACTGAGTCCTCCCAACAGGAGTCCTCCCATAGGAGTCCTCCCAAAAGGATATGTGTGAAATTTGTGAACAAGGGATGCTAACAAGTTCAATAGCACATTTTCTTAATCTTAAGGGATAAGGATGCCTAAGAACCAAAGACCAAGCCTTTCAAGGACAAATAAAAATGCCAGAGGAAAGAGAGAAGGCCAATTAAATGAAACTGGTTGCAAGCATAGCTGTAACAGATAAAACTGGTCCTGTATACTTTTCTCAAAACTTGGCTTTATAACAGGCACCAAAGTTCAATCAACCTTGCTAAAAATTAAGACAGGAGCATAATCGTTCAGCTGAAAACTAACCTGAACAATGACACCACATAGCAACTAATCTTATTGCTAAGAGAATTAGTATGGAATAATGGAGGAATTGACATAGCTACATCTCAGTATATCGGAAGTAATTAACCCACTTTATTTCAACAGATCATTATCAATGCAATTCACAACCTCCTTGGTATCCAATTGACAAAGGAAATCAATCAATCCATGAAAATTATTACTTATTTCTGGCAAAAGTTTGAAAAGCTGCCCTGAATTAATGTCCTTCTTTAACCCTGCTGATGTGTATGTAGACACGTCATCTTGTAATAATAATAATCCTTGTATTTGATGTGTGACTTCAACGACAAACCATCTCAAAGCATATACAGGGAATTGCTGTAAAGTGGAATGATTATGTATTTGTAGGCAAACACAGCAGCCAATTTGCACCCAGCAATGCCCTGCAAGCAGCCATGAATGAATGACCAATTTGATTGCTTAGTTTGGTCAGGACACTTGGAGAAATTATTTTCTCTTTTCAAACAGTGCCATGTTTATTAGTCAGTTGGTGGATCACTCTATGGGGGTAATAATCCCTCCAGAAAAATAATAATGTGGTCACTTAATCCAATGTCGGTGGAACACTTGTTTTTTGGACACTGCTGTGCACAATTGGCTGCCACCATTCGCCCACAAAATACAGTCACTCCACTTTATAGAATATTCTGTGAAGCGCTTTGAGACGTCGCAATGACATGATAAGGCACTATATCAAATGTAAGAATTATTATTGTTATTAATATTAGATCTTTAGTGTTCACAGAACGAGGCAGACAGAACCAGGTTTAATGTTTCATCCAAAGGATGACACCTCTAGCAATGCAGTGCTCTCCCAGCACTGTGTTAGAGCATCAGCCTGGAAGACTTTGAGTTCAAAGTCCTAAAATGAACACCCAACCTTCTGTCTCAGAGGTCAGAGTGTTGCAAACTGAGCTCAGCTGCCACCAGGTGTGGCTCAGTTGGTAACAGTGCCGTGGTAATCCCAACACCTTGGGACGTCCTCCCGACGTGAAAGGCGCTATTCAAATGTAATTTTGTATTGTACTACTCTCGCCTCTGGGTCACAGGTGATGCGGTAAGCTCTATGTTGGGACTTGAGCTCACAGTCCAGGCTAATACTTAAGCGCTGATGCTTAAACTGCCAACAATGGTCCAGATAAATAAATAGGTCACTCACTGCATGTCTGTTGGGGGGGATCTCACTGTGCTTAAAATGGTTGTCACTCATAAAACTATAAAACTGCAAGTTCTTTCTCTCTATTTAGATTTTCCATTCTGGGGTAGAATATCTATTCAATGGCAATTCCTTCCAACGTGCCAGTTTGTAAAACATTAAACTGACGGACAATAATTCGGAGTTTAAGCAAAATGAATATCGAGCTGCAGGTTCATGCCGTCCCCAGGGTGAGATTTTCAAATAGAATCATTTAGATCCGCACCGGAATTGATGGAGATCTGGCTTCATTGACCTGCGTTCCATAGCTATAGCGTAAGAGTGGCCTTTTAACAATGTGTCGGTCTTGCCAAAATGTCACTCATTAGGCGTGGCAAGGCATTCCTGTGCGGATGAAAAATGGGGCCAATTTCAACAACCAGCACTGTTGGAAACGAACATAGTTCATCATGATTAATTGCTTCGCAAATTAGTTGATCCTCACATTCCTCCCCCCCACCACCACCTCACTCCCCCCTAATTAATGTGATCTTGTTCTACGCTAAGAACGATAACTCCCAAATCCATCTGGGTGGGCATTGCTTGCAATTGACCACAGTGCAGAATTGCCCAACTTGTTAATGGCAAGGACAGTGACGCATTGGAACGTACAGGGCAAAAAAAATGTCATGTGATCTGTCCCAATGTGAAACTACAGTAAGTGTAAGCAGATAATAAATAATCCTACGCTCCTCTCCAACAATCCTCTGTTGAATTCTTCCCTAAATAGCTATCTGATTCCCTGTTGATTTTGCTGACACGTTGTATCTCTTCCACCTCCCTTAGTAGGATTGCCCACATATCATTATTATTATCATAATCTTTGCATTTGATGTAGGGCCTTTCATGTTGGGAGGACATCTCAAAACAATTCACAGGATATACTGTAGAACACAGTGCTTGGAATTTTGTAGTTGAACGCAACAGCCAATTTGCACACAGCAATGGCCCACAAACAGCCATGAGGTGAATGATCAATTTTATCTGGAGGATTGTTGACCAAGACAATGGGAGAAACTCCCTTATATTTTTGAAAGGTGCCATGAGGTCTTCAATGTCAACAGCAGCAAAATTACATTTATATAGCACCTTTAAAGTCAGAAAGACTTCGCAAGGCGCTGATACCAGAGTCCATCTGAAAAGGTAGATGGGATTTCGGTTTAACGAGTCAGCCCAACTTGCAACAGTGCAGAGCACCCCCAGCCCTGTATTGGATGGAGTGTTCAAAGTCCCAACATAGGGATTTGAACCCACAACCTTCTAACTTTGAGGCAAGAATGCTACCAATTGAGCCAGGCTGACACTATTTTGGGCTATTTCCAAGTTCGCCACCTGGGTGCCTCTCACTACCATATCGAATACTGCTTAGCAGATGATTGATATTGGAATTATTGATTTGCAAGCCACAAATTTCTGGCCATTCCTATTTAAAAGTACAGTGCTCCCCAACTCCTCTCCACTGTCCTTCGAATGAGACTTTAAACTAAGGTCCCACTTGCTTGTTCATGGGACGTGAAAGATCCCATGGTACTATTCAAAAAGAGATTGGAGTGTCTCTCTCCCGATGCCTTGGCCAACAATCCCCCAAATAAAATTGATCATTCCTTCCATGCCTGTGTGTGGGACATTGCTGTGTGCAAATCAGCTGCCATGAAATCACAACAGTTCCCAGTAAATCCTGTGAAGCACTTTGAGACATCCTCCCAACGTGGATACACACTATACCAAGGTGAAGGATTACAATTACAAACTTACACAGTGAGAAGCATCGGGCGTAATGGGGAGGACAGTCCAAGTTCGACAAGTACAGTACTGTGCAGTTACCCATATAAGGGCAATGGCAGACAACGTCTGAAACACCTAACCCAGATATGAATGTGTTTGCGCTGTCGTCTTCACTCTGTGAATAACAGAAATGGATGATAAATGAACTTTGTTCATCCACTGAATGCAATCGCTGGCTCCAGGGGACAGGACCGCTGGTTACATTCCGGGCAGAGAT